TGAATTTCAGCCCATTACATACTTTGGCTGCCAGATGTTCAAGGATGGTGGTAGGCTGGTCTTCATTCTGCCTTCCAACTGTCCCATTTTTATTGCCTGTTGAAACAGCTTTCTCTGTTACATGATGATTTTCTTTTCTTATGGACTGTGGTTTCCTGCAGTTAGAATAGTTGTGAAAGTTCCGTCCCATCATAGCCTCTCAGTCACACAGTGTAAAATGGCTCACAACCACAAGCACAATACATGATTATTGTTTTTGCAGACTAGGGGTGCTTAAAGAGGGAATTCTGATAGGTGTGGCTTTTGCTATCAGTGCATGATTGTGCTTGTGGCAACCCGAGAAAGTGAGAAGTGCCAAATCCCACAGTAAGTCGAATTGAATCAAACAGTTGCATTGTACAAACATCAGATCCATTAGAACAGAAATAACTTGGAAGGGGAGAAAATGCAATTCTCCCATTTAGAATGTAATTTTAATAATTTCAGCTAACACACCAGTACAGATACATCATTTTGTGTGTATTTTTAATTAACGTTTTAACCACAGCCAAGAATTTCATTCAAAAGATTCCTAATGGTGCGCATGCCAGCCAGTACATTCTCCACATTGCCCCTTATCACCAAAACCACGTCTCCTCCATCCTTCACCACAGAAACAGCTAATTCAAACCTTTTCATGTGTGGCAGAGAAATCATTACTTTTGTGTGCATTGGAAACAGAAGAAAGACTCCGGTTGACTATACCACCGTGATGAAAACCAAAGCTCTGGTGCTCACAGTTATTTACTTTAATATCCAGCTCTGCAACCAGACAAAAATCACTCACCCTGGCGCATAAAAGACCACAAAGCTGCCCTCACCCAGATATGCATTTTAACAGATGGGACCACTATCCTGGCCTCAAGGCGCAATGCTATAATTTTCTCAATCAAATCAGTGTTCTATAAATAACACGTATACACATCCTGGGGTGGAAACAAAGCCTTAAACATATAAATATACATATATCTTTCTTGTTTTAAATTTTCCAGCTGTAATTGCTCTTCTTTGCCCTCAGACTGCCAATAAGGCAGCTGCTTTTGATTCCAGTGGAACACTGCTTTTCTATCTGAACAAAGTAAATATAGTAACTATCAAGCAAAATTGTTAAGTAAGGCCATCTATTGATGCAGAAGGGCAGGGGGAGTGGGAGAAGAGAAACCCAGCTTTGTTTTGCTTTTTTCTAGTAAACTTGTTGTGCTTTAATTTTAATAGTGGCAGCTATCATGTCACTGCTTACAGAGAGACAGGCCTTGTGCTATCACTGTAGCCAATTTCCTTCCGGCTGTGCCAAATGCATCGCCCACTTCAGTACTGATTCAAAGTAGTGCTTTCAGAAGGTCCAGAAATATTTTTCTCACCCAAAAGGCTTTTTCCTCCCTATGCCTGTTTGTAGCCATTGTTCCTTTGATTTACTGCTTCAACTCTAACAAAAGATTCCCTTTGCCCTTCATGATGTGCACATAACCAACCAGATGTGGCTATGCTGCATTATCATGGAAGGCGAACATACCTAATTAGAAAGAAGGCAGTGCTTCCTGGATGGGTAATGTTGTAGCACATCTTTTGCATGCAGAATGGTCCCAAGTTCAAATCCTGGCATCTCCAGGTAGAAATTGCTCCCCAGGAAGATGTGCCTGGTGTCGATGCTATATATGTTTCAGTGCCAGGTCAAAACTTCTTATTTTATTGCTCTTTTCATTATTGATTATGCTATTTGGTTTTACATTGGCTTTTAAATTGTTCTGGTACATGTGGAATAGCTGCTGTTATGTATTGCTTTGTTCACTGTTTGATTACATGCCTGTCACGTGGTGATTATTGTCATGTGGATGTTTTATGACAGGTGAGTCTGTTTTAAATTTGTTTTTAAATTGATTGTTATTTGGTATATTTTTAAATAATATTCAGTGCACCATTCTGAGAGCATCGTGCTAATCGAATGGTGTAGAAATGCTTAAATAAATAATATCTGAGCTGCTGCCAGTCTGCTAACTGAGCTAGATGGACCAATGGTCCAAGTTGGTACTAAGACCACTTCCTATGTCCCTGTAATCCTAGCAAATTGGAAGGATGAGGGCAGGTACCATCTCATTCAAGGTCATACTTCTTTAATAAATCCTCCTTCTCTTTGCACAACAAAGAGTTTGCTTCAAGGAGTGGAGGGGCTTAATGAAGGCATTTGCCAAAATTGCTTCCCCCTTCCTGCTCCCACTTTCAATCAAGCTATACATTTCCTTGTAGTATGTACCATTGTACTTTACTGCTGGCTTACCGTTGGATCTTCATTGGATTTACCTGCACATTTCCACTGGACCAGCCAAAGCTTGGGGTCATTCACTGCTGGATGATCCAGCAGGGGCTGCCAGTTTTGTCTGGGATGGTTGAAGATGGTTGCAGAGCAGAATCCCCCAGATAATAATAAATAATTGGGCACAGTTGCCTTGACAAAGTTAGCACCTTCCATGTACTTGTATTTAGTACAACCACACTTTAAGATTTTCTAAAATAACTTTTCTGTGAAGTTAATTGCTATACCTACTTTCAGTTTCATTGCAGCATCAAGTTCGGAGCCTTACACAAAGAACTCTTCCTTTCTTTTTTCCTACTATGCATCCGCTAGGTGGAAGTGTGCTGTAGTGCAAATATTCTTGGAGAAAGAGTCTAATTGTCCCTGTTACAGTTCAATTTTCCCTCATTTTCCCCATTCTGAAAAAAAGCAGGATGTTGCTCTGAAGTAAAACTGGAGGATCACTGTGTCATTCAATGAGCTCATAAACAACCATTGATAAAATACAAACTGGATACAGACAGCAAGGCAAGCTTTTTTTTTTTTTTTTTACCAGAGTTGGTCTGTTGTATTGTCTGGCAGGGTTTATTCTTGAGGAATCCATGTTACCTTGAAAACAATTCAGTAAAGCTATTTGCAAACTGAGTGCTTTATAATTTGCCCCAGAATTTTTCCAGGAATTGATGTCAGACTGACTGGTCCGTAGTTTCTAGGTCCTTCTCCAGCCCAGCCACTTTTCTTGAAGATAGGGACAACATTGGTGTAGTCATTTGGTACTCCTCCCATTGTTCATGGTTTCTCAGAGATAACAGAGAGTGGTTCTGAGATTTCTTCCACCTTATGACTCTAGGATGGAGTTTATTGGGCCCTGGAGATTTGAACTCATTCAACCCATTTAACTGACCCTTGACCATTTGCCTTTCAATCTTGATCTGCCATCCTGCTCCTTCAGCTTGCACTTCCCCTTCATCAGGAAGGTCATAAATTTCTTTTGGGAGAAGACTGAGCCAAAGTAGGAATTGATCATATTCGCCTTTTCTTTGTCATCTGTTATCATTTTGCCATCCACACTTAATAATTGACCCCCATTTCTTTCCTCTGTCTTTTACTTTGGACATACCTGAAGAAGGCGGCGGTGGCGGCGGCGGCGGCTGCTGCTGCTGCTGCTGCCTTTAGCATCCTTTGGTAGCCTCAGATCATTCCTAGCTTTAGCCTTCCTGATGCCATCCCTGTACTTCTGTGCTACCTGCCTGTATTCTTCCGTTGTAGCCTGGCTGTCCTTCCACTTCCTGTACATGTCCTTTCTTTTCAGATCTAAGCTTTCTGTAAAGCCACAACTTCTTCTGCTGTCTTCTACCCTCTTTCCTTGTTGGAATTGTTTGTAATTACGCCTTTAGAATTTCCCTTTTAATTTTTTTTAAAAATTTTCATCCATCTTGGATTCTTTTTCTCATAAGAAACATTTGCCGTAGGACTTGACTTACTGTTCTGAGTTCATTAAAATTGACTTTCCTGATTTCTAGGGTATAATATGTTTGGCTAAATTTGGCTTTTGGTTCCTTTAGAATCAGGAATTCAACTATGGCACAGCCACTTTCCCCCAGAGTTCCCATAGATGCCACTTTGCCCACTAGGTCTTCCCTGTTAGTATCAAGTCAAGGATAGCACCATTATCCACTACAGAAGCCAAGTGCATTTCTGTATTTCTGCAGTGCCATGCTGTGTTGTATAATGACCCATTCTGGAACTCAGAGAGGAAACCCGTGTGTGTGTGTGTGTGTGTGTGTGTGTGTGTGTGTGTTGGTGGGATGAACTACTTCTGAAGGGAACGCTGATCCTTCTGCGGAGAAGACAAAAGAAGCAGCCTTGATAAAGGGCCAGGTTAACTGCCTCATGTAGAGAAACCCTTGGCATGATGTGCAAACCTGCTCACAGGCTGCCGTGCCTCCTTTCCTTTGGACGACACAGTATCCTGGGTTTGTGATAGCCTTGTGTTTTATACAGGAGCACACTCATTTCAGCAACAGAAAGTGATATTCCTGCCCTGCCTTGAGGAAATCTGTTAAATATATAGCAGGTTCAATCATATGTTAAGCACATACGGATTGTCCTGTTGGAACAAAGAAAGATTCGTTTAGCCTTGCATTTTGTTTGGAGCTTTGGCCAGCCACGTGCTGCTATAAGGTTATAAACTGGGAACAATGGTGATTGCTACCCTTGACTGTTCAGCACCAGAAATCAGAGATAGAAACAGAGTCAGAAGGGGCCTCTCTAGCCATCTTGTCTGACCCCTGGCTCCAGCCAGCTCCACTCATGATATGCCTACCATGTGCATGTCCAGCCTATCCTTGGAACACCCTCACCGATGGGGCCTCAACCACCTCCTGTGGAAGCCCTTTCCATACCCTGGAGGTCCTCCTTCAGGTTGGGAAATCCTTCTGTTTAGTTGTTAGTTATGTCAGTAGTTATAAGCTCTTCCAGATAACAACTGTTTAGTTCAGGATTGCAAAGCAAAGTGTATAACTTTGAAATAAAAGGAAACACTGACATGATACTCAAATTATAACCAAAAGGAGGTGGGGGGCAGAGCTGACACCAACTCTTTTTTCTTTTCCTTAATCTGACTCTTTCCCCCCTCCCACCCCGCTCCATTCCTTGTGATGTTTTGTAGGAGGCAATTTCTGTGCTGGTTATGATTTGAAGGAGCTGGCCCACAGCGCAACCTCAATCAAATTGGAACAAGATGTCACCAAAGGTCCTGGTCCCATGGTATGTTCTCAGAAACCATCTGGAGGGAAGTCCTAAAAATTCTGTGTAACTGGAGTCCATCTCCATAGCTAGAAACAGGCTACACATTGCAGCTAATGTGAAAGGAAGACAGAGAAGGAATCTTCCTTCTCTGAAGAGTAACAGAAACCAAATGGGTTTGTTTCCCAAAGTAAAGTTAGATTCTGTTCCCAGTAAACTTGGAAATTATTCACACTGTAGCCTTTGTTATAGTGTGTATGTGCATGCAGAAGCTAGATTGGGATCTGTTGCTAGATCACTGGGTGATCTGTAGTGGATCAGCAAGCATTTTGGATTCCCAATTGGCCACAGTGTCATAAACCTTTGTTATGTCTGTATTGGGTTATGGGAATTCACTCTACATGAGTTTACTTTTTGAGGGGCCTTCAGAAAGACTAATAGGTCCAGAATGTAGCAGCAAAAGAGCTGATGGGTACTTGCTTATGGGATTGTATAACAACTTCTTACATGGGCTGCATGGATTACCAGTTTGTGCCTGGAACCAATTCAAAGGGTTGGTAATGACCTTAAAAGTCCTAAATGGCTTGTGTTCAGGAAACCTTAAGGACTACTTTCTCCTCTGCCAGTGCTTTCGTTCCCTAAACTGCTGATGGAGAAACCTCTCATGAACGTGGTGGAAGTTCAGTAGATGAGGGCCAGAGGAAAGGCCTTTTGCTTGGCCATATGGAAGCTGCAACTTTCTGGGCAGGCTTGCATGTCGCACTTACCCACTTTGCTAGTAAGCCACCATGGATTTATTGTTTTGTGGACAATTGGGCTCACTGTGGGGTGTTCTGCTCCTTCCCCTCCATCACTCTTTCTCCTGGGGATCACCATGGCAGAAGTAAGGTGTCCCCTGCTCAGTCACAACCACAAGCCATTTTGTGGCCAGTTGTGACTTTTTGCCCTTTATTCCTTCTTTCATTTTTGTGACAGCTACTGACAGCACTGAAGTGTCCCAAAGGCTTATTGAAGGCACTGCAACTTGTAACAGACCACTCCTGTTTTTATATATATTGTTGTGCTCAAAATGCATGCAATGCCCTGGTTTGTTTTAATTTCGGCTTGTGAAAGGGCATGCTTCTGCAGGTGCAGCATATTTGCGCATTGGTCCAAGAAAGAAAGGAAAAGAAACCATTGCTCTGTCAAATCCCTATTTGAAAGGAAACTCTTGAGTTTTGACAGCTATTTCTCAGAACTCCCTTTCCCCAAAAAGGGGGTGGAACTGCACTGTCCTGACCAGCCAGAGTCCTGAGAAGAAGTACAAAAGGTGCATCACCTTGATAGACTAAAAAGGAAAAAGAAGAGATCTCACCACAAAGGGAGTCTTAGATCACTAGTCTCTTTGCCTTCAGTTGTGAGCTCATCTTTTGACTGCCATCAGGGCAAAGGAAGGATGGGAAAAACTATTTGGAGCCTCCCTGTCTTAATGGCCAAGGTTGGTCTCTGGTCCCCTTTGACAGCTGCTGCTTTCCTGGCCACTGCCAGAATGAGACTTCCTAATTTGGAAGAATGCACTTCTGCACTTGTGCAAGTCCACGTGGACTTTTTAAAAATAGGAACATAGCCATGGACAGGATTGGACTGTTGGTCCTCAGTGCACACTCTTCTCCAAAGGAAAAAAAAAGGATCCTGGTTTATTTTATTGCCTTTGGGATTTTCACAGTTTGTGGAAGAGGGGAAGTACACAGAAGCATGTTAAGATCCAGCCACATGTCACCATAAGAAGTAGGACAATGGCTTTCCTTCCCCAGTTGTGTGTTCTTTATGTCAATATTCATCAGCACATATTCTGACTGTTACAGGGTCCTACCCGAATGACATTTTCTAAACCAGTGATTGCTGCAGTGAGTGGCTATGCAGTGGCTGGTGGACTTGAGCTATCCCTCCTGGCCGATTTACGAGTTGTGGAAGAAAGTGCCATCTTTGGAGTGTTCTGCAGGCGCTTTGGTATGATTTCAGCAATCACAAGGATCTGCACTTTGATTTTGGTTTTGGACAGAAACTGTAGTTCATTAAGGATGCGATGCTGTGCATGTTCAGAACAAAAGTTCCAAAGGAAGGGAATTATAGGACCCTTTTCTGCTGAAACATGCCCAGCCATGCACCCTAAGCTGCTGATAGAAGTCCTGCAGTCCTGGCTGGAAGCAGAGCTGGAGAGATCAGAAAAACAGAAAATGTAAAAAAAGTGGTTATGTTAATAATTTATAATAAACTTCTATGAAAGACCTGGAATCAGAATGGCACAGATAATTTGAACTGTATTTAGTATACAGCAAGGCCATTGTTCAGTAGGGAAAGCAATAGTATTTCATTTTCAAAATCAAATAACTTGAAATTCTGTCTTCAACATTTCAGCCATTTTTAATGGCTTATAAGAGTCAAGAAAACTAAAATACACCAAACACACACACACACAAAGGCAGCAACATAGAAAAGGGAAAGATGGAAATCCAACGGGTATAGGAGACAAATGCACTGATGCCATTAGTATTAAGCCAAAGTCTAATGTGTTTAACCCAATCAGGGATTTGGAGTTTCTTGCTTGTACTGTAATCTCATCATTTGTCTTTGGATGAAGAATGATTTATTCCAAATGTGTTAGGCTTGATATCATTTCTATTAATACATTTTATTTCTCGCACCTGTTGGATTTTCAGAACTGAAAAGGACATTCTTCATGGGCACATCTTATTACTTGTTCATTTGGTGAACACACAGTAAGAAAGAAAGGAGAGGTGAGGATTATCCATGCCCACCTACCAACAAGATCTTCATCATTTCTGCAGAAGTATTAATGTGGCTTCCATGACATTAACATTCCAGGCTGCTTTCAACATGTCTGTCTGTCTTTTATCCTCTTTGTTGCCTTAGGTGTTCCACTGATAGATGGAGGTACTGTAAGATTACCAAAGTTAATTGGTCTTTCTCGGGCACTGGAACTCATTCTCACTGGGCGGCCTGTTAGTGCACAAGAAGCATACCAGTTTGGACTGGCCAATCGAATAGTTCCCAATGGGCAAGGTCAGTGTTTTGTGTGCTAAATCATTAACACATTTACTGTCTTGTAAACTCTGTGTGTGTGTGTGTGTGTGTGTGTGAGAGAGAGAGAGAGAGAGAGAGAGAGAATTAGCAAGTAAAATATCAGGTAGGATAGACCTGGACAAGTCCACATTATCAGGCTGCAGAAAAGTGGTGTATTTTAGTTTTATTGCAGTCTGTGGAATTAAATGGGTACAATAGGATTCTGGACTGCAGTCTTGTGAGTCATGAGAGTTGTATTCTTAAGTTATCAGAGCAAAGGGCCATTTAAGAGGAGCAAGGGCACATTTTATCATCAGCATTTGAGAGGCTGAAAGAAAAGTGCTTTTTAGTGTCACCTGGGATGACAGAAAGTGGAATTAACTTGTAATTTTTGGAAATAATGTAATGCCCAGGATGGCATTCCCAAATCTTCCAAATAAATTTACAGGAGTGACTAGCTGATGAAATATATTGACTCTCGATCTTACAGATTCTTCCTTGTTCAGTTGTCCAGGCATTTCTTCCCGGCCATAGGCAAGGAAGCCGCAGTGCACACACTCTGTTCCTGCAGCTGACCACTGGCGTTTAGAAGCCAGGGCCTCACTTCTGTTTCACTTAGAGAAAGCATTTGACAACATGGAAATATATTTCTTTCAATAACAAGGGTGTGTCCTGCTTGAAAACCATTCTTGCCATTAACCTTTGACCACTGAGAGGGAACCACTTGTCAGTTAAATGCATGCAACTCTCCTCTGACCCATCTCTGGGGTTTCCTGCAAAAGGAGGAGGAGGAAAAAAAAAAAGGATTCCCCCCCCCCCCCCCCCCCGTCTCATCTCATTGTGAATTGGCAGGGAGACTGGTTTGAAAGGTAGTAGCTACTGCTTTGATTCAGCTCAAGCTGGTGTGACTGCAACCTTGTTCCCCAGACTGGTGAACAAAATGATGACAGTGTATACTTCTTACCTGCAAAATGCAAAACAGCATTGGAAATGGTTGGTGGGCTGTTTGCATTGTCCCTGAATTTTTAAAGGAAGAAATAAGCCTGGAGCCTACTAACCATAACAAAAAGATGTAGCTTCAATTTTTTTTACTCTATTTTTGTTTGTTTTAAGGCTCTCTGTGCAGTGTGTGTTTTTAAAATTAGGTTATTTTGATCATGAAAGTTTAATGGGAGGGAGGGGATGAGAGAGATGGTTTATAACACAGTAAGTTATTCAGTCCTTGCTGAAGCTGCCGCCATTCTTCAAGTCCAAGAGGTGACTAACGTCTCCTCAGACTTGCTGTCCATGTACTCTGTGCATTCTGATATCCAGATCCCTTCTTTAAAAATATGTCTGTTTTCATTGGCATCAGGAGAAGTATCTTTTGACACAAACATGAATGAAACCTTGTTTTGTTTACTGTGATCCAGGGATGTCCAAATGTCCCCCTCTCCCCCAGCAAACCAGATTCACCTACTCTGCAAAACAAAACAGCCTCACTAGAGTTAATCGGAGAAGGACAGTGAAATGTTTCCTTATTCCTAACACTTGTTAGGAAAAGAGAATATGTTTTCAAGTGTAAGGAATTGACAGTGCAGTCTTCTTCAGGACTACACAGAAGTAAGCTTCATGTGTTCAGTGGGGTTTGCTTCAAAGTAAGTGGTTCTAGGATTGTATTCTGATGGTGCTGTTCTTATGCACATTTGCCTAGGAGTAAATCACCTTGGTCTCTGTAGGATTTCATTCTGAGCAGACATTAATAAGATTGCACTTTGATATTTTCGATGCTTCAGATATTACCTCCCTCTTACATATAATAAAGCAAACTGCACACTGTGAAGGTAGTTACTGCTTACAGGCAACTGTTTTCTTAGGGCTCTGAGGGGTGGGGTGGTGGGAAATATACTTCCCCAGTCACTGCAGAGGAACAGCGGGGTTGCTGCTGAGGAAACAGAGGTTTGACACCTCAACCTGGAGCACCTGTACTGTGGGTTTTCCTAGGTGTGCCTGCCTGAATTATCAAGCAAGCACATATAGGACTGTCTTAGTTCACTTAGGCTTTATTTGTGGAATTTCATAGGAGCTGCGATTTTCTCTTACTGGTCCCTCTTTATTTTTGTTCTGTAAATAAAGAACCACAAGAAGGGAGAGCACCAGGGCCTTGACAGTGCCCACACCTTGTGCTCACAGTTAGCACCTGGACAGCAGAAAGAGCACATGGCTCACAGCTCACATGATCACCATCTTTCCCAGTATGGTGAGATCCATTATATGGCTATTTATAATATTTAACTTGAATCTGGATGTATACATGAGCACCTTTCATTGGTTTATTTGACTTGGACTCCACCTTTCTACCAAAATTGACATTTGGGGTGGCTGAGCCTACATTTTGGTGTCCTCCTTCCTCCTCTTGTTTGCTGCATTTCCACTTTTGGGAGAGCATCATGACAGGAACACATGGACTATACGTTGCCCCAGTAAAACAATTATCTGTTGTGATATTCAATAATGTCCCAGAGAGCCTAAAGATGGCTGGGACAGCTGGTCTTGTGAGGGAAGCTATCATGGTTGTTTTGCTAACACACTGCTTCCAAAGTAGTGGATTATTGGTTGGATTATTGCAGGTTGGATTATTGCAAAGTGAAAGAATGTGTGTGCAAGACAGAGAAGATCCTTCAGTAATGTTCAATTTGGATGCCAGGAAGCACTTCCTGACAGTTAGGACCCCGAGGGTATGGAATGGGCTTCCATGGGAGGTGGTTGAGGCCCCATTGGTGAGGGTGTTCAGGGATAGGCTGGCATGCACATGGTAGCCATGTCATGAGTGGAGCTGGCTAGAGCCGGGGGTCAGACTAGATGGCCTGGCAGACCCCTTCTGACTCACTCTGTTCTTTTATTTCTATGTATCATAATATTTGTGGTGAAAGAATAAACGGGCTATAAGGAGAATCCCTGCTTTCATCTATGACAATTTGCAGGGCATGACTAACCAGTCAGGGTAAAATTTCAAAAGAGAAACAAGAAATTAAACTGAGGAAACAAGTAACTCCTATTTTTGTCATAGGCAAGCCTGTACTGTCCTGTGGTCAGACATGAGTACTTATTCTTGGAGACCAAAGTGAGGTCAAGACACAGGTTTACTTTGTTATTTTTGTAAATCACTACAGCCTTCTGGTAAACAGCACATGAGAGGCAAACCTATTTTTTTTCTGGAGAAACTTCTCTTGGGTAGTTTTCCAGGTACTACCAACCTGGTGATACAGTCTAAGCTACACTCAGACCCCTTGGAGTTTTAGGTTTGCTCTAGAATTTGAATTACCATGGACAGCATTGGCCATGTTGACAGGGGCTTCTGGAAGATGAAGACCCAGACATTGGAGAACCGCCTTCTGTCCGCTCCTACCATAGGAGACACTCATTTTGCAAAAGATAATGGTGAAGCTTAAGGGACCTGGCCTTTGTGCTCCTCATGTGATTGGAATGGTTCCTTAAAGCAGCCATGTCCCCAAATCCTTTGCTGTATCTGTTCCATGGCAGATACTCAGTGCCAGTATTTCAGATATTTTGTGGCATAATTTGATGTAGGCAAATTTCACTGACTTGCACTTAGGCAAGTCAATCTGTACCAATCCCTGTATCACTCCACCCCCTACTAAACTACCTCTAAAGGTTAAAGGATCTTCTGGAACAACATGGGTTGTGATACAGGGATCTGGTACAGGTAGGGGAAGTTTTAGTTTTTATTTTATGGTTGCAGGCCAGGAACATTTTATAAGGAAACAGATAAATTAGCAGTAGAGAAATTAAAACACAATTAAAACAAGGACAACTTACACAGTGTTACACAATGTAAACATAGCCACCATTAAAACAGGTGACCATATTTTTCCCAATCTGCACTGAAGTTGTAACAGTTTTGGCAACATTTCCAATAACGTAAGAGGAATCATCCCTTAAAAACATAGATACCAGAGTGGAAGAATCATTCCCTTAAAGACCTTTTATTAATGGTTTAATCATTTTTTCTTGACATTCCCTATAAAAGCTCAATGTAAGAGAACATGCTCCAATGTTTCTACTGCTTAGCACCACATGAGTATATGTGTCCATTGACTGGGATTTTATAAATGTTCCTTTAATTGTGCTGATGGAAGCACATTAAATTGAGCAGGAGTAAATGCTTTTCTGTACTTTGGGATTGCTAGTTTGTACAGATGCGGGGCTGGATTAAATAAATTATTAGAGCAATTATTGCAGCTAAGGTGCTAGTGAGCAACAAGTTTTACCAGCACCAGTTTTCAAATATTGAAGATCCAGGTCCATTTTCTTTGACCAGCAAGAAATTGGGACTTCTCCAGTTGCCCAGCACTTCTGCAGAGAAACTTAGCCCATGTAGCTTCTTGTCCATTTCTCTCATCCATTGGTTAACATACCTATCCAAAAGTAGTAGAGACAGGTAGCTACCAGGAGCTGCTAGAAAATGTAAATATAGCCACCATTTAAAGGCTTCAATCCATGCCTTGCATCAACTGATCAAATCCCTACTTCCGTATAAATGGCTGCATTCCACACACAGGGAGGAAGGCCCAGCAACTTCCTAAGAAAAACAGACTGGACTTTTTCCATTTGGAAGAATGGAATTTATCCTTAATCCTGGTGACTAACCCACAGGTGTTCTACCACTAGTTGGTGAGGTTTGACTCACTGTTTTGGAATTGGTGGATTAATACATGGGAAACACTGTACCAGTAAAGCATGGGGTTACAAAATGCTTTGAGAACAGACAGGAAACAATAAGTTTCTATTGCCCTTTGAGGGACCTGGAAAAGGGAGGTTTAAAAATTGTGACAAGGGATTTTCCACTGCTGTACCTTTAGTTTATCTGTTACATTACTTCTCCTAGTGGTTTATTTCAGTATGTTCATATAAACAGATCCAGTTCATAACACGGTTTCCCAAGCTTCCAATTGCTGGGATACATTTACATTTTGAATTAAAATCCACATGCCTCCCTTATGCCCCAAAGGGTTTGCCTTTAGACTGAGTTTGTAAGAATTACTCTCTGTAAGAAGAACCCTACTTGTTGCAGCAGTTCTACATGTCGAGTTACTGATTTGGAAGGAGGAAATCTACAGCCAGGACTCAAGCCTGGGCTGAAAGCAACAGGATGAGATTCAACAGGGACAATTGCCAAGTCCTCCACCTAGGAAAAAGAAACCAAATGCATCAATACTAGATGGGGAATATGTGGCTCAACAGAACTAAAAAAAGAAAAAGACCTTTGTTTGAGGTATTGTGGACAAGAGGCTAAATATGAGCCAACAATACAACGCAGAGCCAAAAAGGGCAAATGCTATTTTGGAATGCATTAATAGAAGCATTACTTCTAAATCATAGGATGTATTAATTTCCCTATACTCCTCACCAGTCAGATCTCATCTAAAATACTGTGTTCTGTTCTGGGTACCAACATTTAAGAAAAATGCAGAAAAATTAGAAAGGATCCAGAGAAGGACAACAAAAATGATCCAGGGTTTGGAAACACTGCCCTATGAGGCGAGACTGAGAACTGGGTATGTTCAGCCTTGAGAAAAAATGGCTGAGAGGGGACATGATACCACTCTATAAAGGCTTAAAGTACCTCAAAGGCTGTCATAAATAGGAAGGTCAGGATCTCTTCTTTCTGATACCAGAGTCTAGGACACAGAATAATCAACTCAAGCTGTGACAACCCAGATTGAGTCTAGATATCAGGAAAAGTTTTCTCACTGTCAGAGCAATGCAACAGTGGAACCAGCTGCCTAGAGAGGTGGTGGGCTCTCCAACACTATAGACATTCAAAAAGGAATTGGAAGCTTTTGGTATGCTGGTTCCCCACTCTCTCACACACACTTTTTAAATATACTTGTATTCCTCCTTTCTTTCAGCACTGCAGCATGCCATTGAATTGGCAGAACAAATTTCAGCCTTTCCTCAGCAGTGTATGCGTGCAGACAGAAACTCGGCTTACTATGGTGCATTTGATACTTCATCTTTCATGGAAGCCATGCAGTTTGAGTATGACTCTGGACTGCAGGTGATATTAAAGGAGTCTATTCCCGGCGCAAAGAAGTTCAGCTTAGGACATGGGCGTGGTGGAGCAAAGCTATAAGGAGCTGAATATCACCCCCACAATCTCTGTATTGCAATCACAAAATAAGGAAAGCTACTTTCACTGTATGAATGTATTGTTGAATTGTAGATTTCATAACTTTTAAACCTTATAGTCCACCTCCCCTGGGTGAAAAATTCAGACTTGTGCAACTGCTAACTGGGATGCAACTTAAATTTGAATGTGGTTAAGAATCACCATCTATATTATGTATGTTCTAAAATGGTTGCATAATCACTGAACTGGTGTTTCCACTTATCTCAGAAAATGTGGGTTAATTGCCATTTCTACCTTTAGAGCTAATTCTTTTTGTTCCTAAATTCACTTTGCTGAATTTAACATGTTTGTAACTTCAGTTTACAGAAACCTTAAAAAAAGATATTGGGCAACTATTATTGATCACTAAAATATACCTGAAACTCTAAGAATACTTACAGGAAAGTAACTTCCTCAGGGAGCAATTCACAAAGTCTGGCATCCTTACTGCATCCCATACTCACTGGGAAGAAGAGCCAGTGTGGTGTAGTGATTAAGAGCGTGGGACTGGGACTCAGACGATCTGGGTTCTAGTCTCCGCTCAGCCATGGAGCCAACTGGGTGACTTTGGGCCAGTCACAGATTCTCAGCCCAACCTACCTCACAGGGTTGTTGTTGTGGGGATAAGATGGAGGAGGAGATGTAAGCTGCCTTGAGCCCTTTGTAGGAAAAAGGCAGGATATAAATCGAAAAATAAAATAAAAAATAAAAGACCAGACTTACTTGTGAGTACTTATGTGGCCCTGCACTGCAAGTCTAGTGAATCCATCAGTCCTATGCAAGCACACACAAACAGCTGCTGCAGCCTTATTAAAAGTGTTGCCTTATTAAAAGCAGAGAGGAGCTTTTTCTCTGTTGAAATCAATTCTGTGTTGAAATCAATCAACAGCCTGTTCCTACAGGAATTCTATATGTACATTTTGGTCCATAGAGATCTCTAGTACTGAATATAGTTTTTAAGAGTGGAATAATCTGCTTTGGAGCAGGAAAGTTTTTAATTGCAAATGACCTTCCTTCTAGTAAACTATTAAGGGGACAGAATATTGGATGGACAAGTGCTCAAATCCTCGTACAACCGTGAATCCCACTGAGTGGTGGGAGCAAATATTTTACAGTCTAACCTTCCTCATACATTTGTTGTGTGGATAAAATGAGAATTTTTAGGCCACCCTGAAGTCTTTGGAAGAAAAGCAAGAAATACATGTGACACAAAGAAAGATGAAGCGCAAGGAGGTGGGGTTCAATTAACTGTTTTATATGCTAAATAGATATGGGTGATGGCAGATATTGTCATGGGTGTATGATTTACAGTAAATCACTGACAAAGAGATGATATAATTTCAAAGTAATAGAACAGACAGTACCTTGGCCTATGGGCAAGAATTTAAAGAAGCTAATCCAAAGAGCAAAGTGCCCCTTTTCCTATATGAAATAATTTTTAAAGGCTGGTTCTGGTTCACCACTAGATGTCCTCTGTGAGTAGGAAAAAATGATGTTCGCAAAGCTATTCTGTACTTTGCATTCATAATAGTGAAAGGAAAGTTTGAGGGAGAGAGAGAGCAAGAGTGAGAGCGAGACAGCGCAAATATTAGGAGGTGAAACATTCTTTTAATAGTATTAGTGTTTAATTCTGTGGCCTGAAACACCTCACAAAACACCTTTTTGTTTTAGTCACCAAGGAAGTATTTTCCTGACTTTTAAATATGTGCTTTAAAAAGATTTTTTTTAAATTTCAAATAGCAAAACTTCGAAGAGGAATGTATAAGCTGTAGCAAGCCCTTAAACTCCCCTTTCATTAATTCTTGACAAAGTGGTCAAATGTTTTTTTGAATTGAAGTGACCTAAATCTAAATGAAGACTTTTTGATATAGCACTTTGATTCCCAGATGCATAGTTATAAAAACCTTATTAGTAAACTTTGACTGTATCTATACTAGGGAATTATGTGCAGCTCACTCTGGACATAATGATCTTATGGGGACAACCTTTAGAAGGTGTGTTACTATGGAGTACACAACTAATATTTCTGTACCCCCGGTCCCCTACCACCATTCCATGCTTCACAACTATTTGTGTATTTGTGGTACATTAGAATTAAAATAACAAACGTCTGCACTGGGTGGTTTGTTATTCTAGTGCTTGTTACTATAATATGCCCAGTCAGCTGCTCCATCACTTCGTAATGTTTTTTAAAATAAGAAAGGATGCAGCTTTAAAATGAGAAATGATGTTCATTACATCATTTGGTGAGTCCCGGCATGCTGACTTGGGCCCATTTTAGCGCTTCTCATCACCTGGCTGTCTTTGGATGGTCACGAGGTGGGGAGACTTGGCCTTCAGTTTGGAGATCCAGTCCTTGCTGCTTCACTGAATATGTATCGCTGTACCTCATGGTAAAATAGTTGTGCTCTGTGTGGAAAGCACCCAATCAAATGGACCAAAGAGGAAGAAGGATTCCTCTTAGGTTTGTGGGAAAATTTGACTTGAAAGTCTTCTCAATCTGCAGAGAAAGAGCGAGCTATGCAAGGATATTTCTTATGTGCTATGTGCCCATTTGTCTGGGGTGGAGCGAAGAAGAAGAATTGACTGTGGGTATTCCTTCATTAGGGGATAGGCAGACAGGAAAGCCAGTGACATCTTGTAATTGCCACCCAAGCAAGCAGAATGTAAGCAAAGAAAATTTTGTGGGGAGATTTGGGTGATGGGAAGAGGGTGACTTGGGAGCTGTTAGGAGAGGAGTAATCTCACTTTGACATCACCCATGATCTTTGGCACTGCAAGAGGGACTGACTCTTTGCAGTTTAAAGGACGAGGAAACAAGCTTTCTCTCAGCCTTACTCTCTCTCTTGCCCTGGCTACAGCAGCTTATTTAAACTTGTAAATAACATTGGAACAACTCCCATGAATCCTCACCATTGGCTGAGCTGGCTGGAGCTGATGGGAATTGTAGGTCAAAATATCTGAAGGACCATGAGTTGCCCACTCATGTCTTAAAAGTGCTCTAACCCCCTGCCTTTGGCTTGAATGCCAGCATGGAAGTTTAAGCGATTTAAGTGAGCTCAAGGGATTGTTTTTGTGCTCATTCCCGCAGTGGTTCAGGGTCAAAAGATGAGCAAAGTCAACACTCATCCCTTTTGCACCCCTCCCTGTAAAACCACTGTGGAGCTAGACAATTGCTGCTGTTACCTCTCAGCTCAGACAGGGAGCTTTCAAGGTAAACAGAGGGTCAGCTAAGGCTGCCCATGGAAGCAGGAGGTTTGAGTGAAGAGAGGCTGCTCAGTAAAATGAGGGCAGAAAATCTGCTTGGGCACTTTACTTTAAATAATGTTGTTATCTTAAAGCCTCCTTATTTAGAATTTCCTTCTGCGAACCTAAATTGCAGTGCTTGTCCTATGGCCGATTTCTAGGGGTTACCCCTGCCATGCTTGTTAAGATAGTTGCACCAGCTTTGCATTGATTAGACCTAAACCGTGGGATACACTGTGTGCCTTTAAGTCTACCTTTGAAATGCCTCCTGAGCCTGAACTGAGATTCCAGCAAACAGGAGGAAAGCCTGAAAGGGAAAGAAAGAGAGAAGGATCTTATGTCAGTCATACTCACACCAGGTAGTCTAAGACAAGTCAGTTTTTCACAGGGTTAGCTTTTCCCTTTTCCTAACATGGGAGCTCAAATAGCAGTCTGTTTTATAGTGTTGTTGTAAACATGCTGAATCATATGCGTAGTTCTCTGGGCAATTGGTAATTATGTAGTGTTCTTAGCAATGTAAAAGAAGGACAAGTGAAATTATATGCATAACCTGCTTCATTTTCTCTACTTGGCTTGTTTGTCAGGCAAAGACAAGTCTGCCTGTTATCCTAAGAGATCTTTTGGTGGGGGAAAATAACAAAACTTACTGACTTAATTCATCAAAGGGGCAAAAATTCCACACTTGCTCTGAGTTCATGGACTTCCTGCTGAAGTTATCTGCAGGTCATTGTACTTAATGTTAACTGCTTTACTTGTGAAACAAGGTACATTGTTTTCCGTTTGAGGAATATGTTGTGGAAGAGAGGAGGAAACACATGTGAGTGAATAATAAACTTGTAGCTAAGTGTCTGACTAATAATTCCTGCTTATTGCATGACTGCCACATGCTTTTGGGATTCCTTTTTGAATCGACTTAGATCCATAAAAGGAAATTACCCACAACTCATGGTAAGTTGATGTACTAAAGCTGAAGGGGGGGGGGGGGTATTGCTAAAATGACACAACTTCTATACCTTTTAACAACCGGGTAGAAAAGGAGGGAATATTCTGTTAAGTATGCTCCTGATAAAGAATCTCCTTAACACTCAAGCTGTCCCATGGAATACCAAGACTGGATTTTATGAAAACAATGTTCAGTTAAAGACAGTTTGTACTCACCCTCTGGACTTCTTACAACTGCTAACTAGCTTCGAGTCTGAATTTTTTTTTTTTTTTTTTGGTAGGGGTGGAGTTTAAGTAGTGTACTAAAACAGTCTATTAAGCCTACTTAAGATAGACAATACTTGTATTTAGCACCCAGTTTTGAAAAATGTTCTTGTCATATATCTGTGATATACAAGAACAGTAGGAAGATAAAGTATGAAGTGATTTATCTTAGTCTAAAATGCTGTTGCTCCCTGGCTTTGAAATAGAAGAAAACCCTGGCTAAGTAAAGGGAGCATCTGCTATTGATCCAAGTAGGTCTTGGGTGAGGTCGTACAATTATTACAATTTCAAAATAGAATAATCAGAGGCATCCACATCTGTGCTCTTATGAAGACACTTTCTTCCTATGGTTGTGGAAATGAGGACAACAGCGACTGCTATGCCAGTCTTTCAGGTTTTCTGAAGACACTAACAGGCTCCTAACTGCCTTACAGAGACTTAGTGAGCAGTAGAAGAGATACTCTGCAAATATAGGCATTTCCTGGGGGGGGGGGGCTATGCTGCTTTCCTCCTCCTTGGGTGACAACAGGGGGGGACTTCTGAGGGTTCACATTTATGCTTCAGTTATGTCCTAACCCTATCTAGGATCAAGGAAGAAGGTCCCTAGGATTAGATAAGGGGATTCTTGAGTAAAAGAATCCCCTTGCCACAGGTCTCTGGTACCTGGAAGGCTACACATGATTATTCAGTGACATTAGGGTAGCTTTTTTTTAAGCCTCATGTCGTAAATCTCTCAGTTCACACAAAGGCATGCATTGATGTAGCCTTCGATTCCAATATTAGAACTTCCTTCTCGACGATCCATCTGTTCCCCCTTAAGTCAGGGATGCTGGATTTTACTGCAAGTTGTGTGACCATTGATTTTAATTGGCAACCTGTTTATGAATTGTATTGAAACATCTTTTTATGGAAGCTTAAAAATGTATCCATTTGTATGGTTTTTATCTCCTATGTTGCCCTGAAAAGGTTCTGCTCTTAAAGACAAGATTTTTTTTTAAATCCTCATTTTGCCGTCCTGGTCTCCTCTGTGTTTCTTACCCTCATAGCAAACAAAAATAGCACTTTACAAAAAGCTGCAGTAACCAGGAGGAAACAACTGCAGTCCCCGCGACATAAAATCGATCCAGTCGAAGGTACTGCTTTATTGCTTGAAAGTGAAGATTTCTTCATGGAAGTTTCGCAGTCCATAAAAAAAGAAAAAGCCCTCAGCCCCTCCCCCCCCAACACTTGCACACGAGTTCTAGCCGCGACAAGAGAAAAACCGAGCGCAAGCTCCTCTCTCTGCACTTGTATTTCCATTTCGGCAGCAAGCTCGCTGCGGGGCTGCTTCAGTCCTTGCTGCCTGTCGTCTTCTGGGAATGAGCAGGAGCAAAAGTGGAAGCCAGCGAGGGAGCTCGCAGGAGGCAACGCCCCCTCCTGGGGAGGAGAGGCTTCAGCCGTGACGGACAGGGACCGAGAGCCTCTTTAATCGTTCCCTCCGCTGCCCATCAAAGGAGGGGGAGGCGGGCGCTTCTCCAGCTGGATGGTGGTACCTGCGAGCCGCCGCCGCCGCCGCTCACATGAGTGGCTCGAGCTTGCCCGGGCTGACGGGAGAGCGCGCGCAATTGGGATTGCCTTGAAGCTCCCTCTCTCCGGCCCGGGGACGCCGCTGTTTGGCGAGGACTGCTGCCTCGCAGGGAGGCAGGAAGAAAAGCAGGAAAGGGCAGGCGGGAGGAGGCTGCTTTCATCCCCATTTGGGGCATTTTTGTCCCCCGCTGCTGCTTTTTCCCACCCCACCCCCCTCCTGCTCAGCAAGGGCTTTCTTCCCTGCGCGCGCGGACTGCGCTTTTGCGAGGGGCACGAAGCGAGCAGGCGGCGGCTGCGAAGCGGAGGGAAGGGGGCAAGCACGCCGCCGGCTGGAAAGGCGCACGCCGAGTCAGTTGGACCCTTGGGCGAGCGGGGGTCCCGCGCTGCAGCAAGGCGAGCAGGCTTGCGCATGAGAGGAGCGGGAGGAGGAGGAGGAAGGGGCGAGGGACCTTGCACCTGAGCAGCGTCAGTGTGTCTCCCCGGCGGAGGCGGCGCTTCCGCGGGGTAGGGCAAAAAGCGGGCTATGGGGCTCGTTGCGAGGAGGAAGGCCCCCACCCTTCCCCTCCCCCTCGAATGAATTAGCGCCCCCACCCCGAGGGACGGGAGGGTGGGAAAGCAAGGAGAGCGCTAGAGCGGGCGGGAGCGCGCACGCGCTCCCCAGGCAAGCCTCGGTCTTAAGTTAAAGCGAGGCGCAGGTAGGTAGGTAGGTAGGTAGGAGAGGCGGGGAAAGCGATGCCGTTGAGGCTGCGCTGGCTCTGGTGGTGGGCGCTGGTGTGCAGCAGCAGCCGGAGCTGCGGCGGCGGCGGCTCCCCGCCGCCGGTGCTGGCTCCCGCGGGCGGCAAGGAGCAGCCTCCGGCGCCAGTCTCCGCGTCCCCCGCGACCTCCGCCTCCTCCACGGCGGGCTTCCTCTACCGGCGCCTCAAGTCTCACGAAAAGCGCGAGATGCAGAAGGAAATCCTCTCCGTGCTGGGCTTGCCTCACCGGCCGCGACCCGCGCACGGGCTGCAGCAGCTCCAGCCCGACGTCGCTCCCCTTCCGCAGCAAGAGCAGCGGCGGCCGCCGCCGGTGCCGCCTCCGAGCCGGCTCAACTCGGCGCCACTCTTCATGCTGGATCTGTACAACGCCCTCTCCAGCGAGGAGGCGGCGGACGACGAGCGGGACTCCCCGGCCGCGCCCCCGCTGCAGCGCAAGGCCCTCCTGAGCTCCCACGCGGGGCCCTCCGGCGGCGCCCCCGCCCTGGCCAGCCCGCAGGACAGCGCCTTCCTGAGCGACGCGGACATGGTCATGAGCTTCGTCAACCTGGGTGAGCTCGAGGATGGGGAAGGGGCGGGGCCTGCGGCGTCCCCGGCCAGCACCTGTTGGCAGGTCGCGTGCGTCTGTGCACGTCTGCACGCGAGGGCTGGGAGCGCGACCAGCTGCGGGATCTCCTCCTCCTCTGGAAGTCTCGCCCCCCCGCCCCCGCCTGGACTTATTAGGCCCGAAGTGCGTTTGAGTCGCGCCACGCTGGGTGCCGGGTCTCACTTGTGGGTGAGCTCCAGCTCCCAACCGAGTTCACATCGCATCGTTGAGCTGGGTGCAGTTTGAGCAGTTGCCCTGCGGTTGTATGGAGCTGACAGGTGCCGGGCCAAGGGATGGAATATAATGTGCGTGCAAGCCCCGAGATGCACAAGTGGAGAACTGCATCCAGCTCCTCTGTTTTTAGATGGATCCCTTTCTTGGGGTAGGGGAAGGCCCCAGATATATATTTGTGCATGCAGCTACTAAACAGCTACTTTAGCTCTGGTTATCAATGGACCACTGTTCTCCGAAGCAGAAGGGGACTTTGGCTTCTCTTTCACCAGCATCTGTATTATATAACAGGCTGCTCTCAAATGGAAGCATATTTTAGAAGCTTATAACTCTGTAAGACTAGGAACCTTTTGAGGCACAGAGAGGTCTGGTGCACATGGTTCATTTCAGGGCCCCACAAATGGGGGGCACTGTGATAAGTCTCTGTGATGGTGCCCATGCTCACTGAGTCCACACAGTATGCCTGACTAGGCTGGGCTGGGCTGGGCTGTAGCCATGAGCTGCTGCCAAATTGCTTATTGTCATTGTGTCAAAAGCAGGCTAGTACCACTATTTTGTTTAGTGGTAGCTTCCATTCTGTTTATGAGGACACATTTCTGCAAAAAAAGAGCTGGTCACCAGGTAGCAGTGCTGCTGTGGATGCATGGTCCCTCCCCAGGGGTGAGGCTTTGGGGAATTAATCCCTGTGCCCCCTTTAAAAAGACACTGCGTAGGGTGTATCCAGTAATTCAAAGACTTCGAAATTCCCTGCTTGGATGCATAGAGTCCTGACTGTTGATGCTAGTACTTGGATGGCTTGCAAAGGGGAGTATACAAGGTAGAGGGGAAAGCTAGTCATGATGGCTATATTATTATCTCCAGCATAAGAGGAATATACCTCTCAAAGCCAGTTGATGGAGAACATGAATGGGAAGGCTCATTTGCTTTCATGTGCTGTTGTGGACTAACAACCACCACCTGTGGGAATAGAAAATTTGACTAGATGGGGCTTTGGTCTGATTCAGCATGGCTTTTCCTACATTGTGTTCAGCCCCAGTTAAGGAGAGGCTACTGCTTTGAGCAAACACCAGACTAGATGAACCAGTGGACTAACCTGGCGTGCCATATGAAATCACAGCTGTTTGGTGACCGTACAAACTGCTTGTTTCTGTAATCCTTGAGAAAATGTTATTCATGCAGGGTTGTGTTCATATGGACTAGGAGCATCATAATGTGGTTTGTATCATTTTGTTGCCACAGATCCCTTGCTTGTCAGTTACTTCAAGTCAATGTCTGTGCTTTTTCTAAGCTGCTGATCTTTAGTTCTGTGCACTTGTGGTACTGACCATGGTACTATTACATGTTTCTTTGGCCAGCCGAGGATGACTGGTGTCAGAATTCTATCCAGGCGCTGCTTTTTTCAAATGCATCTTGCATTTATGTCTTGACTATGTGAACTAGCCTTTCCCAACCTAGTACCTTCCAGATGATTTGGCCTACCACTCCCATCATCCCTATCTGGCATGGACAAGGGCTTTGCTGGTTGGGAATGGTGGGAATTGTAGCCCCACAGATCTGGAGGACACTAGGTTGGGAAAGGCCTTCTTAAGTAAATGCCAGCTTGAAACAAGGCTTGTTTTCTGTGGCATGCCTGTGCAATAATAAAACATTTGGGCTGTGCTCCTCTCATGCTTTGGCATATGAGCTATTGAACAGAGTGTGTGCATTTGTACAGGAACACACCCCACCCTGGCAGTAAGCTACAGGGAGCTGGTTGCTGTGCAGACAAGCCATGGTGTGCTCAACAGACAGTCAGGCTGAATGGATCTTGGCTCCTTCCTCCCCACTTGGTCTTCCCAGGGCTATCCTAACGGGCATCAAGACAAACCAGAGTGCAACTGCTCTTTGTTTGTAAAAAAAAAGGGGTGGTGGTATGATTTACACCCTCTTCCTGGAAAGATTTTTCATTGTTTCTTTGTTTGCCTGATTGTCCACTGGCTGGTGCACCGTTTGCATTTTTTCCTTAGACTCCAGTAAAGTGCAAAAATGTTTCCTTCCTTGGATAGTGATACTCCTGTCTAACCCCTCCTTGTCATGTCAGAAATTACCCTTTTAAAGAAAGATAACTGTCAAAGCTTATTTTACAAGAAAAAAGTGGGGAGAAGCACCTTTACACTCTCCTGAGTACCCAGAGTAAGTAAATACGCATAGGATCGCTTTATTAACCTGCTGCAGTCCGTTGGATTAGCGATGAGAACTCCCCTCCTGCTAGGTGTGCTTCTGAACAGTCCATCTGCTTCCTGCTATCATAGCATTGGTTGTCCTTGGTCAGTATTGTCGTTCTTGACGGACAGTGTCTCTTCTAGATTTCAAGCAGGGGTTTTCCTCAGTAATGCCACCTGCTTTTCTTTATTGCTAGTAAAGAAGTTTGAACCAGCCAAACGCAAAACATATTCCCTACTTCTAACCTATCACCTCCTTTGGGGAATCCTTTCTTTCGAGTAATCCTTACACCAACATATTCCAGTGCATTTCACACATTCCAGTTTCGTAATTTAGACTGAATATTAACAGCACAATCTTACATACATTTAGCCCCAAAAAATCCTGCAATTTCAGCATGCCCCAGACATGGTGAGTATGTATGACTGAAGACATATTGCCTAGAAAACTAGGATCTATCTTTCCTGTGTATGGAAATATTCTTAATAGTAACTCATTCCCAGTCATCCTTCCCAAACGTGTAGGATTCTGCTGATCAGTTGGGGAAGTGTTCAGTGCCTATGTCAATATAGATGCAAATGCTGCTTTTTAAAAATCATGATTGAGGAAGGAGGAGATTTTCTTTCTTCAAGTCAAGCCTAAATGAAAGAGGGAGTATAACTTATCAACTTGAAATACTTGATTTCTTCTCCCCCAAAGGCTGCATTAATTTGAAACTGTTGAGGGAAGTGCAAAGCAAAGCAAAGCTCAACAGCACAAATAACCTGTGCTTCTCTGCAGAAGCAAATATTACCTGAATTATCCCAGGTAAGCTTTAGGAGTTCAGTGGGACTCATAAATAGGGGAGAAAAAAGCTTTGTTGAGACTTACTAACCAACATTTTTGTACTCAACTCAAAAGGCCACTACAAACCAAGTAGTTTGATGCTTGGTTTCTGCTGTAAAAACTTTAGAGGGCTTATCTTGGCAGCTCCGGCATTAGGGGCTGGGCAGGCTGTTCCTTAGCTTCTGGATGCATGCAATATTTCAGACAATGCTTATTCCTCTCATGGTCAAGTGGCTGAGAGTCAGCAGTCAGTGACAACACAGTCTGTGCTTCCTGGCCTTGGATTCATTTGGAGGAATGGTGTAGAAGTACCTGGTTTTCCTAGAAAGGCCTTCCATTCCACTAGTTATGCATCACAGTGCAGAATCCAGAGGAAAGTAGATTGCACAATAGTGAGTCATGTTAAAGACTGATGCAGATCGCATGTAAGTTATCCATGATAATCCTTCTAAGGAATATTGGTTGACAGCTGGAATGTACCAGAAAGATGAGTGCAGAAGTAGAAGGAATTCTATTGAAACGTAGAAACAGAGCGAGTCAGAAGGGGTCTCCTGGGCCATCTAGTCTGACCCCCGGCTCCAGCCAGCTCCGCTCACAATATGCCCACCATGTGCATGTCTAGCCTGTCTTTGAGCACCCTCACCGATGGGGCCTCAACGATCTCTTGTGGGAACCCATTCCACACCCTCGGGGTCCTGACTGTCAGGAAGTGCTTCCTGGCATCTAAATGGAACCTTGGTTCCCTGAGCTTTGCTCCGTTGGAGCACGTCCTGCCTTCCTCTGCAGGGGAGAACAGGTCTCTACCCATCTCCATGTGACATCCCCTCACATACCTGTATGTCACCGACAGATCCCCTCTGAGTCTCCTCTTCTCCAGGCTGAAGAGACCCAGCTCCCTCAGTCTTGCCTCATACGGCATCCCCTGCAAACCGGCCACCAACCTTGTGGCCCTACGCTGCACTGACTCTAACCTGGCTATATCTTTCCTGTAATGAGGGGCCCAAAACTGACCATAATAATCCAGTTATTAAGTGGTCCACCTACCTGTCCCCCCTTCCTTTTGCTATTTACATGCTGATAGAAGCCCTTTTTGTTGCTCTTGATATTATTTGCAAGTTTCAGCTTATAATCAGCCTTAGCCTTGCGAAGAATCCTCCTGTGATGGGCCTCCTCCCAATATACCCTTTTGTCTATTTGCCCCAGTGCCCATTTCCTACAGAGGTTCCTCTTGCGTCTAATCCCTCTTGCCACCTCCTTTCACTTCCATGGCGGCGCTCTCCTCCGCCTCCCCGCCTTTATAACTAGAGGTATCGTCAAGGCTTGTGCCTCCAAGACCTCCCTTTTGAGTGCCACCCACCCCTCCTCAACTCCCTTGCCTTCCAGTAACCTATCCCAGGAGACTTTCCCCAGTCTGGCCTTCAGTTGGCCATTGAAACAAGCATGATTAAAATGGGATTTTAAAAAAGATACTAGCATTTGGAAAGTATTGCAGGAATGGGTACTTTGTGGTGAAAGGAGGAAATAATGAAAATAAATTTCACTGTGAAATTGTGAGACTCGGAGAGAACATTCGTATGAGAGTTTGTCATTCACCCCCCCGCCCCCCCCAAAAAAAGATGTTCTCATGAAAGATGTTGATCATTAGGTTAAATAGTAGAACCATGATAATGATGCAGGAAATGGTTTCTGCAGTGACTGTGGTGTTGA